GGGACGCCCCGAACCCGCCAGCAGCACTGCGAGCGTGCTCCTCCGCCTCTAGAGACCTCGTGCGGATGAGCCTCAGCCTCGGGGGAAACTCGTCGCCAGGCGGCACTATGTCCCCCGCGCCACCCCCCCCTCCCCCGAACCCCCCAGCGGAACCACTAGCGCCACCAGCAGCGGGTCGTCCGCCCCGGCCCTCCCTGAGCGAATAGGACGTGTGGGCGGCGAGGGGCGCGAGGGCGGCGGGGGAGGCGGGCGCAGCGTGCGCGGACGCAGCGTGCGCGGAAGCAGCGTGCCCGGCGGCGGGGTGAGGGAGGGAGAGGCGGCGCGAGTGCGCGGAGGAGAGGGTTTGGTGCGACGCGAGGAGCGACGAGGAGACGTGGTGGGAGAGCGTCATGGAGTGGCGCGTCGCGGACGTCAGCGCGGGCTGCGGCAGGTCCATAGCGATGGCCTGCACGTGGCACGCGATGACAGGGACACGTGGACACGAGCACATGAGTACATGAGGAGAAGGACCAAGCGTGAGGCACTGCGACAGGGTTGAACTTGCAGAGTCACATCAGTGCGGAAGCGGAACTGCTGTGCCAACCCCCTTGCCCTAACTGACTTATCCCAGGTCGCACCTGGCGGATAGGGTCGTTCTTACCTGGTGGACAAGTTCTTACCTGGTGAATATGTTCTTACCTGGTGGATAGGTTCTTACCTGGCGGTAGGGTTTACCTGGCCGATTGTGTCTTACCTGGCGGATGAGGTCGCACCTGGCGGACGAGGTCGCACCTGGCGGACGAGGTCGCACCTGGCGGACGAGGTCGCACCTGGCGGACGAGGTCGCACCTGGCGGATGAGGTCGCACCTGGCGGATGAGGTCGCACCTGGCGGATGAGGTCGGTGGAGGTGACGCCCAGCTTGTCGGCCATGACGGCGACGGCGTCGCAGAAGTTGTCGAACGTCAGCTTCTTGCGGCCCTGCACGCACACGCGCGGCAAGCAGAACACCGACACATTGTCGCTCGCACCTCGTCGCTCACAGCTCGTCGATCGCAGTTCGTCACTCACGGCTCGTCGCTCACAACTCGTCGATCACACCTCGTCGCTCACAACTCGTCGCTCACAACTAACCGCTCCGCAAACCGAAGAAGACGAACTACAGAGCGGCACTAGAGGCTACACTCCTCAGATCGCGGGTACAATTCTGAACACAACTTAACGGCTAAATCCTTAAACGGGTTGAGTGGTTACGATTCTAGACACGGCTTAACGGCTAGCGGCTTAACGGCCACGATTCTACATGCGGCGTCGCGGGGCTCACGCGCGGCTTGATGGTGACGAAGAGCAGGTCGACGTCCGTGACGTGCAGTCCCGCGCCGCCTCCCGCGTGCGCGATGATCCCCAGGTCGCGACAGAATCGCACGAACTTGATGTTGTCCATCTCGTCCACTTCGCGCGCCGTGCCGAGGCTGCCACGCACACACGGATGAAATTCATTCCAGAAAAGGGACGAATGTGGCAGATGAAAACTCAGAAACTATATTTCAGCGCGAATTGATGAAGCCACGCTGGGCAATTTGTCGAGCAAACCACCGTAATACACCTGAAAAACCACGTCCTTCTCTTCGCTACTGCGAACAGTATGATCAGGTCGAGCACGCACCAGCAATACTGGTTGAATATCTGGTATAGAGCGTCGTAATCATCGTCCGAAGGGACCTGAAACCCGTCTACCGACGCCATTCCAAAAGTCGATTGGATGAACACAAGAATCGCCGACGACTGAACGATATTATGAAGGCATGTATCGCCGACGACTAAGCTAGTCCGAGATTTCTTGGTGCAATCGCAGTAAGAATAGGTATAACTTGCAAGATCAGGCCGACCCAAAATGAGTAAGCGAAATGGCGGTTGCTCGAGTGCAGAACGGCTATTGCTGCGGCACGAAAAGCTAGAAGAACTGAACTTGCTTGGCTGTGCAGAAAAATGAGGGATGAATGAGGTGGAGTGGAGGTGTTGTTGAGCGGTTGTGCGATTGAGCGACAAGGTGAGGAGGGATGCGATCCTGCGGCACAGCCTCGCTCACAATCGCAGCACACATCAAAGCCGGCCGCGTGGAGAGGAAGAGGAGGAGGGGAGAACAGTTAGGGCGTGTTACATTTTTCGAAGTCGCTGAATGTCCGGACGACTGTACGGACGCGTGCGAAGAATGCGACGTCGCTCGGTCACGTTGCGACTAATACGATGTCGTAAGGATGCAATACGAAGAAAGCGACGTCGTTTAGACCCTGACGAACTCACTGCCGAGATTTAACGAGTTTCGTAACCACAGAATCGTCCGGACGTTTGGCCGTCCGGACGAAAACAATGAAAATGTAACACGCCCTTAGCAAGAGGGTCGCACACGCGGGCTGCGGCGGGTGGGGCCGAGAAATCTGCCGAAATTTGACTGATGCGCCCAGATGGCCAGCAACGGCTAGATTGGTTTGGCGCCACTGCCAGCCAGGCCTGTCGATTGACGGGCATATGCCCTTAAAGCCGGCGGCCCAAATTGTTCATGCTTTTAAAAGTTGACCAGAGGGAGTTTTTCTGGTGTGGGCTTTGGCGAGAGTTTCCGATTTCGTCTAGGTTCGTTTTTTTCGCGAGACCCAGCCAACCCTCGGTTTTCCCCCTGGTGAGTGAATCTGTCTTCGAAAGTCCCAAATTGCAAGTGCGTGACTTTCAAAAGCTTGGACACTCAACTTCGTCAAGTTTTAAAAACTTGACCCTCGCGGCCCGCAATTTGGGACGCGGGCTTTAATGCCCTGAACATTAAGGGCTAGTTTCGCTCCAGCTCCAATGCGTCAAGTTTTTGTTTCGCACCCCACCCGTGCCACTAAGTGCTTCATTCGACCCTTGCCCGGATGCGTTAAGGGACGAAACCAGGCCTTCCCCTTTATCTAAGTTTTGGTTTCAGATCGTAGGACCCCCCCCCCCCCCCTCCCCCCCCTCTTTCTCCTTAGCCTGCACTAGAGCGCGCCAAGGGGGTTTTTCCCTTAGCGTTTTGTAGCCAATCCCGTGTGTGTAGCATGTCTCTCAGTCAGCCTAGGAGCACCCGCACATTCCCTTAGCGTCCAATACGAGCTGGCCGCAGTGTACAGCTGTGACACATGGGATTATCTTGGGTAAATCTGGCTAAGTTGTTTGGCCACAGAGACATCTAAGACACTAAACCACAGCACGTCAAAGGAACTGAAGCACTCCAGCGCAGCAGCTCCCTCCCTCACCACCTTCGTTCGTGCGAGCCACGATTCCTCTCCACCACCATGCAATCCATCCACCACCACATCCCACCCATGTTTTCTCTTCCGCACCGTCCCACCACCTCCACGGTATCATCCACCCAAGCCCTCAGCTCTCCCCTCCCCTCTCGTACGTGCCATGCTATGGCACTTCTCCTCCACCCAACCACTCTGCCGAGTAAACCTCGCGTCGCCTAGCTCACGCACGCGATGTTTATAGTATGGGTAGCTAACCCGTTCGCTTCGTCAGCCACATTCTCCCACAATGGATCCTAGCGAGGGTGAAACCCCTCCTCCAGTTTTGCCCATGTCGAACGTTAGTCATTCTCATACTACGACCGAGACCGAGCCTTACGTACCCTCGGATGCTGAAGACATGCTAGACGTAGCAATCTCAGTGTTGGACCCGCGCCTCGCCCAGCAAGCATCATCGTCACAGACTACACCTCTGTCAGCAGCCCGCTACCGTCAGGTTCACCTTAGCTTCGCAAGTCCGCCACCAGATTCGCGAAAGCGCGCACGAAGCGTACCGCCTCCACCCACTGCTGAGGAGCTGGAGGCGCAGGACAAGGCTATCGCCGAGGATGCAGAAGTGCCCCCGGACACCGAGATCCCTGCTGCTGAGAAGGGTATGGCACGTCGCTTCAGCCCGTCGTGGAAGCAGACGTACTCGTGGCTGACACTGAAGTACAACAAAGAGGAGCGCCTGTATGGTATGAAGTGTTCCGTGTGCTGTAAGTTCGCTCCTAACACCAAGTCTCCCTTTGGCGGTGCTGGCGTCGGTGCAAGGGACTTTCAGAAGTCGGCGTGCCGCAACCATGACCAGTCCAAGGTGCACCTCGCGGCCTCGTGAACATGCTCAGCGGCGATCCAGTCATGGCGAGGGTCGTCAAATGCATGCAAGCAGCTCAGTGGATTGCGCAGAACGATGCACCGATCGCTCTCTACCCCATGCTGGTGCGGTTCATGGCGGAGCAAGGATGCCCCGACATGATGAACAGCGAATCCTACGGGCGTTATTACTCGCGGTAAGTGTTTGTTACCCTCTGGTTCTGCACCTAATGTCCTGCTGTTTCTTCTCTTCGTTGCCTCTGTATTTTCGTACTTGTGCTTGTGTTATACGGTGAGTAACGTACATTTGGTGCTCATTGCAGATACGCCTTCGGCGAGTTCGTAGAGGCTATGGCGGAGCATCTGGTGGCCAGGCAGCTCGTGGACGTCAAAGAGTCGGCCTGGTACAGCCTCTCCTTCGATGAATCCACGGATCGCGCCCGCGGAAAGCACCTCATCGTGTATGTCACGTTTGAGAGAGGCGAGGCCGTGGTGTCCCAGTTTCTTGCTCTCCTGTCGCTCGAGCGTTGCAACGCCGCTGCACTGTACGACACGATCGTGAAGTGCCTGTGGTCGAAGGACATGTCGATGGACAAGCTTGTCGGGGTTTCAACGGATGGTGCATCCGTCATGGCTGGCTCGAAGAACGGAGTTGTCGCCCTGCTTCGGAAACGTTGCCCGTGGCTGGTGGCGATTCACTGCGTGGCGCATCGGTAAGGTTGCACTGCAATGTCCTGTTATCTTATTACCGTCGCCATACGTACTCACGAACCTGTCGTGCTTGTGCAGCGAGGCATTGGCTGCAAAGGATGCCGCGAAGAGCTTCAAGGAGTTCAACGTCGTCGATCAGATGATACGCCAGACTGCCGAGCGTCTCGGGCGTTCATCGACCGATCACAAGACCTACATGCATCTCCAGGACGTCATTCTGAAGACGCACCTGGAGGTGCAAGGCTTCTGCACCGTCCGTTGGCTGTCTCGCGGAGATGCTGTGAATCGCTTCTGCGACGTGCTGCCGGTGCTGATGTGGATGTGGACGAAGGAGAAGGACGGGATGGAGAAACTCGCTACCAGCTTCAAGTTCCACTACATGCTTTACCTCCTGGCTGACGTGCTGCAGCTGCTCAACGGACTCAATCTTGCCTTCCAGAAGCAGACGGTAAGATTGACATGAACATGTACTAGGCGCTTCTTCTCTTAAGTGCTTGGTTCTAATGTTTTCCCGCTCCGTTTGATTTCAGGTCGACATCACAGAGGTGAAGAATCACGTCGACAAGGTGAAGACCAAGCTACCGCAGTACTACGTCGAGCCCAGCGCATCCTACGGGCCGAACACCTCTCGCCTGAACAAGTTCCTTGCTGCACACGGCAGCAAGGACAAGCGCAAGATGGAGCTCAAGGGAGTGGGTGGCGACGGCAAACCTGCAAAAGCCGAGATCGAGCTCCACGAGGACATCATCGACCCTGAAAACCCGGGGGGGGGATGCGACTTGGAGGCCTGCGTGGACCTGGCGCGACGTTTCGCTCAGCGCCTGATTAAGGCGCTGGGGAAGAGGATGGCGTTTTAGGGAGAAACAAGAGGAGGAGGGCTGCTCGGAGGATGGAGAAACCCACTCATCCTTCACTGCCACCACAACTCTGTCGTGTATTGAGAACTGCTAAACCTGACACGCATGCAGATCATGGGTTAAGGATAGCACAAGAGCAGCAGCAAATAGGCTTCAAGTGTTTGATCGGAAATCCTGGGCATCTGTGTGGTAGCTGTTCGTCGCAGATACTTTTCACGTGACAATGGTTCGTACTCGATATTTTGTTGATGCTGAACAGGGAGGATTCATTCACGGAATCGGTATAAGCTGGTAGCTATCCTTACCAGAAACAAGTTGGCAACAACTTTCCTTACAGACGTTAAAATAATGCCAGCGTATTAGTAGAACTGGTTTACAATCGAATGTACTACACATAACACCACCTGGTTGTGATGGTAGTGGAATACAAAGCGGTTACACTTACCAGATCAATGATCATATTGTCGAGGTAACCACTGCGCCTTACGTGCAGCACTGTGCTTCATTACTTGCAGCACTTGTATTGGTACCAGTATATCGAAGTGATTTCCCAGTATGCCTCAAAACCAACACGGGGGAAAACCTTCCACATGTCAGCCAACAAAATTGGTAAAAATGTGCTCCACAGAATGATTACAAAATCAGTCAAGCTGTTAAGGTAAACACTCTGCCTCAAGTGCCGCAGTCCGCTTCATTACCTTCATAGCCTGCCCCTCCTCCCCATCATTAAGCTCCACCTCATTCGGGGGTGTGCCTGGAGGCGACTCAACCTCTTCAGGCTGTTTCGGCACCCGAACTATGGCTTCCGGTTGCGCTTCTCGCGCCAAAATTGCCGCAGCAGCCGAGGCAGACAGAGGAGGTATGGCATGGGGTGATCTGCCAGCAGCAGCACTGCCTGCATTGGCCGCACCAGTGACAGCAGCGGAGATCATCCCAGCCAATCCGGTGCCGCCAAGTGTCGCGGCACGAGAGGGGGAATGGGAGGAGGAGGCGGAAGCAGTGGCGGCGGCTGCTGCTGCTGCATTGCGAAGCGAAGCGAATGATTGCACCTGGATTGACACGAGGCAGAGTGTGGGAGAGAGGAGGTGTATGAGGTGATGTGTCAAGGAGGCACCAGAGGGGACAAAGATGAGGCATTATTTGCTCCAGGCGTTACCTGCTCCAGTCATTACCTGCTGGAGGTGTTACCTGCCCAGGAGTTACCTGCTCCAGGCGTTACCTACTCCAGCTGCTACCTTCACCAGGTGTTACCTACCTGCTCCAGGCGGCGGGCTGCATCGAGGCGATCCTCGTTGTATGAGCTGGGAAACTGATGAGGGGCGAGGGAGAGGGTGGAAAAGAGAGGGAAAGAGTTTGAATATTGAGAATTCTCAAAAGTCAGACCAACTGAGGCGATCCTTGTTGTATGAGCTGGGAAACTGATGAGGGGCGAGGGAGAGGGCGGAAAAGAGAGGGAAAGAGAGAGACGGATGGTTTAGGGCCCCAGTATGGGCAATACTACAGAAGAAGCTGCGGAAATATCTTCTCAACTTGACGAGAAATGCTACAACCAGAGCAGACGGGACAAGGGATGGGGTGTCAGGAGTCAGGAGACTCGCAGAAGGGGAAAGCGGATGGGGATTCAGCCCGCCTGGTGAAATGGAGGAAAGAGGTGGGGTACTATGGGATGCGGGGCAGGGGGACAGCAGGCAGGGTTATGGCAGAGGAAGCAGGGTGAGCAGCAGGCAGGGGGAGTTCTCACTACATGGGCGGGGTGAGAAGAGGCAGGGTCTCACCCAGGGTGGGAGTTACAGCTTAGAGTCAGCGCGAGGATGAGGAAACGGGGCAACGAAACAGGAAGGGGTGATGAGTGGATAGGGCCGAGGGCTTACAAGGTGCGGGGCGTATCTCTGAATGGCTGCTAGGACTGCTGCGTGCCCCACAGGCGTCATCTGGGGAAGGTGGGAAGCGGTGGAGGTGGAAAGAAGGGGGTGGAGGTGGATGGGAGAGAGCAGGCGGTGGGCTGGAATGGCAATTGATTGCTGGATGGCTGCTCGCACTGCTAGCGATAAAGATGATGGGTTTAGAAAATAGAACTTTCGTGTATGAAGAATCGGAAATGATAAAGGAAAAAGGGAGGCACAAGCAATATTCGTAATGCAGATGATGAGCTGAAGGGCAGCAATAAATTAGGGCTGAAGGCACGTCTCAGAACTAGGGAGGGAGGCACGCATGCTAGCACACATATGTTGGCACAGCGCACCCACCGGGATGAGCATGAGGACGCCGATGGGGATCACCGATGCCACGTCAGTCAGCGTGCGCTTCAAAACTTTGGCCTCCCGGTCAGTCAGGGGCTGCCCGAGTGCTGCCCGCTGCAGCATCTTCATTGCCACTGCCACGTCTGTGCTCAGCAGCTGCGTGCCTCTCCATGCGTCCTGATGAGGAGGAAGGTGGGGACGGGAGGAAGCAGTGAGTGCTGCTGCGTGCCTCGCCACATCTCGCCTACCCCCTCTCTCCCATCCCCATCCCACAATCATTCCATCCACCCCCTTGTCTTTAATCTGCTCGAGCAGCTGGTGAATAACGCTCTACTCCTGCTTTCCCCCTCCTAACCGTTCTCAACGGCTCTCCCACCCCATCCAACCCATTCTTACCGCACCGCCTTCTCGAATGTGCTCCAGAGACTGGTCAATCACGCTCTTCTCCTGCCTCTCCCCCTCCCCCGCCCGGCTCGTCACATCACTCCCCTCCCACTCGTCCAGGCCCCCACTGCTGCTGCCGTCCGGCCCTCCCCTCCCCCCTCCCACACTCCATGTGTCACCAGGAGCGGCAGCAGCAGTAGAACCACCAGCAGCACCAGCGGGAGCAACACCAGCAGCAGCAGCAGCAGCAGCAGCAGCAGAACCATCCCCAGCAGCAGCAGCGGAGGAGGAGGCGGAGGAGGGGAGGGTCCAGGAGGAGGAGTGAAAGAGGCGGTGGAAGATGGACGGTGCCTTGGGAGGGGACGTTTGCGTGGGCGCCTCACGCTCCATGGAGGGAGATGCTGCTGCTGACGTGCCAGCAGCAGCAGCAGCACCCGCAGCACCAGGAGCAGCAGGACCACTGCCACCCACATTTCCTTCCCTTCCCACCTTGCCATCCCGACCAGCACCAGCACCAGTTCCCCCCTCCCTACCAGCACCAGCACCAGCACCGGCACCGACGTCAGCACCTCGCTGCAGCAGCCGTGCCTCGAGCTCCCTCAGCTGCACCTTCAGCTGCTGCAGCCTACTCGCCTCTGCTCCCAGCCCTCCCATGCTCGCTGCCGCATGCCTCCCATCCCCAGCCCCAGCCCCATACCCATACCCCGCCCCTGCATCTGCGTCTGCCGCACCTGTCCATGCACTCCCGTCAAAGAACTCCTCTCTGAACGCCCACGAGCTGTTGGCACTCTCTGCTTCACTCCTCCTCTCCTCCTCTCCCCGGCCTCCCGGTCCTCCCTTTGCTCCATCCCCCCCATCCCCTATCCCCCGCCCTTGCAACTGTGCCTGCACATGTGGCTGTCTTTGCATCTGCGCCTGCGCCTGAATCAAATCAGTCCTCCCAGTCCCCGCAGTTCCATCTCTTTTGCCTGGCTCGCTGCTACCGGCAGCAGCACTAGCACCACCACCGCCACCAGCAGCAGCCGTTGCTGGCGCTGATGTGGGCGTGCATGACTGGAAGGGAGAGAAGTCATCATCATTATACTCCTCCATTCGCCTCCCCTGCGCATCTCCTCCCCATCCTCTTGCTCCTCCTGTTGCTCCAGCAGCCAGGATTGCTGCTCCTCCCCATACTCCCACACCTCCCCTGGCTTCCTTTCCATCACCTGCCCTGTCAGCACCACCACCTCCCACTGACACACTCATATCCCTCTCCATCTCTTCCATCTCCCCCCTTCTCCCCGCTACTCCTCTCGGCTCTGTGCTCCCTCCCCTACTTCTGCTACCGTCCCCCCTCTCCTCCTCCCCATCCACCTCCTCTCCCTCAATTCTGGAAAGAAGCGACGAATCTTCCCGGGCAGCCTGCCCGGGCAGCTGGAAGAAAAAACTGCGGCCGGTGCGGGCGGCAGGGGCGGCAGGGGCAGTATCAGTGGCGACGGGAGCGGCAGTGCTAGTGGAAAGGAAGGCGGAGGTGAGGTAGGAAGGGAAGGGTGAGTCAGCGAGCGCTGACGTGTCGTGTGACGATTGGCTCTTGTGGAGGGAGGAGTAGTGGGGATCAGGAGGGTCATCATAAGCACCAACTATAGAGGCGATAGTGGCTGTGGTGTCCGTGGTGGTGCTGCTGGTGCTGCTGCTGCTGCTGCTGCTGCTGCTGCTGCTGCTGCTGCTGCTGCTGCTGCTGCTGCTGCTGCTGCTGCTGCTGCTGCTGCTGCTCCATCCGCTCCTCCATCTCACGTGCTGCTGCCTGCCTCCTCTGCCGGCTCACCTTCTCCCCCACCTCCTCCTGACCAGAATAGTGACGAGTCAGAAAGATACATGCGAGAGAGGCAAGTTACAAAGAGACTCCTCGGAAGGAAATTCGCAAGGAGAGATTGGTTGGAAAGCGAGTGGTTACAAAGGAAATATACACGGTAGAGAGGGGTGATGAGCATGAAAGGGGAAACAGCTGTCAACTTCTCTCCTCACATGCTGCCGCCATCACCCCCTCCCTTCTCTCTCACCTGCCATAATCACTCCCTCTCCTCACACCTGCTCTTTTGTGCCCTGTTCCGTTGAGCCCTGCTCTGAATTTCAACCCCTCTTCTCTCACCTGCTGCCGTCGCACCCTCTCTTCCTGAACAGCTGCTTTCATCTTCAGCCGTCTCTCCAGAGCGCGAATTTCCTCCCTCACCCGCACCAGCCTCTCCCATTCCACTCGCACCAACGCCAGTCGCTCACTCGTCCCCGCCCCTGCTGCCTTCCCTTTGCCTCCACCTGCCCCTGCTGCTACCAAGTGTGCTGCGTGTTTCTCTGCTGCTGTAGGCCCAGATGTATCTCCTCCTCCCGACCTTGCCCCAATCCCTTCATCTCCACCCCCTCTTCCTCCCTCTCCTGCTTCTCCCTCTCCCTTTGACCTCTCTCCCTCGACCATCTCCCCTGCTCCTTCCCCTGCCCCTTCTCTTGCTGCTGCTGTGTCCGCTCCACCCCTCGCAAGCACAACTGCCTTCCCAGCAGCCGAACGTGAGTGTGAGTGCGAGTGTGTGTGCGCATGAGAGTGTGAGTGTGCACGCGAGTGTGGGTGGGAGTGAGCGTGTGAGTGAGAGGGAGCATCTCCCCTAAGCCCAGCACTCTCTGCTTCCACCACCCTCATCAGCCTCTCCACTATCTCGTCTACAGACAGAAAGTCCTGACAGGAAAGAAAAGGGAGAGGAGCAATAGAGGGAGAGGAACAAGCGATGAGAGAGCGCGACTGAACCACCACTCTCATCAGCCTCTCCACTATCTCGCCCACAGAGAGAAAATCCTGACAGGAAAGCAGGGAAGCAAAGGGAGAGGAGCAAATTCGGGAAAGACGACCCGTCCACTCTCATCAATCTCTCCACTCTCTCGCCCACAGAGAGGAAGCCTTGCCAAGCAGAAAGGAGCATGAAAGCAGGGGGCAAGAGAGCAGGGGGAAAGAGAGAGAGGGATAAGCAGAGAGTGACCCACGACTGTCATCAGCCTCGCCACTATCTCGTCCACAGATAAGAAATCGTAACAAAAAGCAGAGAGGTGGAGCAAAGTGAGGGAAAGAAGCAAAGGTAGGGGAGCAAGAGGGGGAGAAAGCGCGACCGACCCACCACTCCCATTAGTCGCTCTACTCTAGTCCACTGGGGAGAGATCCTGATGGGGAAAAAACATCATTCATCAGTATCCTCCTCGCCTGATTCAGCACCTTCAATCCCCTCTCCAAGACCTTGAGCCCCCTCAGTTCCTTCTCCAGCCAAGAGCGCTCCTCCCACATAGACAATCAACAATCACCAATCTCCTCACCTTGCTGGTTCCATGCCTTGATCCCCTCACCTGATTCAATGCCTTCAGTTCAGTCCCTCTCCATGACCTTCACTTCAGCCCTCTCAGTTCCGGCTCTAGCCGCGAGCACGCGATATCAATAATCACCACTCTCCTCACCTGGTTCAGCGCCTTCAGTTCCCTCTCCATGACCTTGAGCCCCCTCAGTTCCTTCTCCAGCCGCCTCCGCGCCTCCTCCCTCTCCCTCGCCTCCCTCTCCACCTCCTCCATCTCGCCCATCTCCACCGCTCTCGACCCCTCTAACCGCCTCTCGGCCTCGTTGGAAGAATCAGAGTCAGAAGAGGGGACCAGCACGCCTGGTACTCTGTGGGGGTAGAGAGGGGAGGAGGAAAATAGCAGGAAGATGGAAAGGGGAAGGGAGAACGGATGAAGGGGAGGTGGATGGGAAGACAGGGGGGGAGCGGAAGGGAGCGAGTGGGGAATGGGAAGGGCATGAGTGAGAATACTCATTCACTCTCTTCTCATACCAATTACTCACTTGCAAACTCGCATGTCCTGTATTTTAAATAAAAGACATGCAGCGCTTCTCTTAACCACTCATTCACCTACTCTCTTCCCATTGAATAACTCAGTTGCTCAATCACTCACTTGCTCGTTCCCCTTCGTCACTCTCCCATCCCACTCACTCTGCAGCCACTTGGTGCTTGCTTGATGGCTCCAGGCACAGCCCCAGAAGAACCATGCTGGAGGGGTGGAGAGGGAAAGAGAGGGGTGGGAAGGGGTGCAGAGGATTGTTGAAGGGTGGAGGGGGACAAGAGGGATGACTTTGAGTTGAGGTACCTCACAAGCTGCTTGGTTGATGGATCCGTCCAGGCACGGCACCAGCAGCACATGCCGAAGGGTGGAGAGGGGTGTCGCCAGCAGCACCAGCAGCATCAGCAGCAACATTCACCCCTCAACACCGCACCCCTTTTCAACCTTCTGCAGTCCTCTTAATCCCAGTACACCCACTTCACCCCTCTACATCCCTTTCAACTTCTCTTCTCCCTTCTTTACCCCTAACCACACATACTCACCCCTGGGCCATGAAAGCAGCAGCTCGCGAGTCAGGCTGCTGCAGCAGCCAGCTCGAGTGCCGCTCCCAATCCCTCGCCCACATGCCGCACACCTCCTTACCCACCAGTCTGCGCCGCCTCCTCCGCTGCCGGTGCCGCTGCCGCTGCGCCGAGCGCGGCGAGAGGGAGGAGGGGTCGAGGTCAGGGTGGCGCTTGGAGGAGAGGGGCGGGAGGAGCGGCAACCAGGCGAGCTCTTCTCTCAGGACCTGAGGAAGGGGGGAGAAAGACCAAGTTAACGAAAGGATGGGGAGAGAGGGCGGAGGGGTCGAGATCAGGGTGGCGCTTGGAGGAAAGAGGGGGGAGGAGCGGCAGCCAGGCAAGCTCTTTCCTTAGAACCTGAGAGTGGGATATTGGAGGACAGAGAAGGGGAGGAATGGTAGGTAAGAACTTGAAAAGGATGGAGAGGGAGGAGGGGTCGAGATGAGGGTGGCGCTTGGAAGAGAGCGGGGGGAGGAAAGGCAACCAAGCAAGCTCTTCCCTTAGGACCTGAGGGGGTGGGGAGGGTGGGGAGAGGGAGGAGGGAAGACGAAGCTTAGGGCAGGAATGGGGAGAGAGGGAGGAAGGGTGAGGTCAGGGTGACGTTTGGGGGAAATAAGGGGGAGGAGGGGCAAGGAGGCGAGCTCTTGCCTTAAGACCTGATGACACTGGGAAAAGGGGAAGCGAATGAAAGCTTAGAAAAGGCAGGGGGAAGAGATTTAGGGTTAGGGGTGGGTGTCAGGGTGGCACTTGGGAGGAGGGAAAGGGGAGAAGAGGCAGGCAGGCGAACGAAAGCTTAGAAAAGGCAATGCCTTAAGAAGCGGGAACACGGAGGAGGGGGGTCGTCAGGGCGGCACTGGAATGAAGGAGCGAAGGGGGAAAACTAGAGATTATTTTCAAACGGGATTCAGATATGGCAGAGAAATGGAAGCTAAGGAAAGGCATGCGGGAAGAAGGGCTAGTGTTACCCTGACTGCTGGTTACCACAGTCGACTGCCTGTAACCTTCACTGCTGCCTGCTCACCTCCACGAGCCCCTGGTACATGGATATGTTGTCCAGCTGGGGGAAGGTGAATATGATTGCGCCCTCGAAGTGGCTGGGGGCGGTGGGGAGATGGGGGGATGGGAAGGAGGGGAAGGAGGGGGGAGATGGGTGGAGAGTTGAGGGAAAGCAAGGTGATTGTGCCCTTAGACGGGAACGGCGGGTGGGGAGGAGGTAGGGATGGGATTGGGCACAGAGAAAGTCATGGGAAGGTGAAGATGATTGATCAAAGACCAGGAAGGGGGATAGGAGGGGGGGAGAACGGAAGAGGGGAAGCGAGCGAGGGCCCTGCTTGCTACCAAACAGTGGGCTCGACTTGAAGAGACTGGGAGGGGCTCGACTTGAAGAGACTGGGAGGGGCGAGACTTGAAGAGACTGGGAGGGGCGAGACTTGAAGAGACTGGGAGGGGCGAGACTAGAAGAGAGTGGGAGGGGCTAGACTTGAAGAGAGTGGGAGGGGCTAGACTTGAAGAGACTGGGAGGGGCTAGACTTGACGAGAGTGGAAGGGGCTAGACTTGAAGAGAGTGGGAGGGGCTAGACTTGAAGAGACTGGGAGGGGCTAGACTTGACGAGACTGGGAGGGGCTAGACTTGAAGAGACTGGGAGGGGCTAGACTTGAAGAGACTGGGAGGGGCTAGACTTGAAGAGACTGGGAGGGGCTAGACTTGACGAGACTGGGAGGGGCTAGACTTGAAGAGACTGGGAGGGGCTAGACTTGAAGAGACTGGGAGGGGCTAGACTTGACGAGACTGGGAGGGGCTAGACTTGAAGAGACTGGGAGGGGCTAGACTTGAAGAGACTGGGAGGGGCTAGACTTGACGAGACTGGGAGGGGCTAGACTTGAAGAGAGTGGGAGGGGCTAGACTTGAAGAGACTGGGAGGGGCTAGACTTGAAGAGACTAGGAGGGGCTAGACTTGAAGAGACTGGGAGGGGCTAGACTTGACGAGACTGGGAGGGGCTAGACTTGAAGAGACTGGGAGGGGCTAGACTTGAAGAGACTGGGAGGGGCTAGACTTTACGAGACTGGGAGGGGCTAGACTTGAAGAGACTGGGAGGGGCTAGACTTGAAGAGAGTGGGAGGGGCTAGACTTGAAGAGACTGGGAGGGGCTAGACTTGACGAGACTGGGAGGGGCTAGACTTGAAGAGACTGGGAGGGGCTAGACTTGACGAGACTGGGAGGGGCTAGACTTGACGAGACTGGGAGGGGCTAGACTTGAAGAGACTGGGAGGGGCTAGACTTGACGAGACTGGAGGGGCTAGACTTGAAGAGACTGGGAGGGGCTAGACTTGACGAGACTGGGAGGGGCTAGACTTGAAGAGACTGGGAGGGGCTAGACTTGAAGAGACTGGGAGGGGCTAGACTTGAAGAGACTGGGAGGGGCTAGACTTGACGAGACTGGGAGGGGCTAGACTTGAAGAGACTGGGAGGGGCTAGACTTGAAGAGACTGGGAGGGGCTAGACTTGACGAGACTGGGAGGGGCTAGACTTGAAGAGACTGGGAGGGGCTAGACTTGAAGAGAGTGGGAGGGGCTAGACTTGAAGAGAGTGGGAGGGGCTAGACTTGAAGAGACTGGGAGGGGCTAGACTTGAAGAGACTGGGAGGGGCTAGACTTGAAGAGACTGGGAGGGGCTAGACTTGAAGAGACTGGGAGGGGCTAGACTTGAAGAGACTGGGAGGGGCTAGACTTGAAGAGACTGGGAGGGGCTAGACTTGAAGAGACTGGGAGGGGCTAGACTTGAAGAGACTGGGAGGGGCTAGACTTGAAGAGACTGGGAGGGCTAGACTTGAAGAGACTGGGAGGGGCTAGACTTGAAGAGACTGGGAGGGGCTAGACTTGAAGAGACTGGGAGGGGCTAGACTTGAAGAGAGTGGGAGGGGCTAGACTTGAAGAGAGTGGGAGGGGCTAGACTTGAAGAGACTGGGAGGGGCTAGACTTGAAGAGACTGGGAGGGGCTAGACTTGAAGAGACTGGGAGGGGCTAGAATTGAAGAGACTGGGAGGGGCTAGACTTGAAGAGACTGGGAGGGGCTAGACTTGAAGAGACTGGGAGGGGCTAGACTTGAAGAGACTGGGAGGGGCTAGACTTGAAGAGAGTGGGAGGGGCTAGACTTGAAGAGACTGGGAGGGGCTAGACTTGACGAGACTGGGAGGGGCTAGACTAGTGGGAGGGGCTAGACTTGAAGAGAGTGGGAGGGGCTAGACTTGACGAGACTGGGAGGGGCTAGACTTGAAGAGACTGGGAGGGGCTAGACTTGACGAGACTGGGAGGGGCTAGACTTGACGAGACTGGGAGGGGCTAGACTTGAAGAGACTGGGAGGGGCTAGACTTGACGAGACTGGGAGGGGCTAGACTTGACGAGAGTGGGAGGGGCTAGACTTGACGAGACTGGGAGGGGCTAGACTTGACGAGACTGGGAGGGGCTAGACTTGAAGAGACTGGGAGGGGCTAGACTTGAAGAGACTGGGAGGGGCTAGACTTGAAGAGAGTGGGAGGGGCTAGACTTGAAGAGACTGGGAGGGGCTAGACTTGAAGAGAGTGGGAGGGGCTAGACTTGAAGAGAGTGGGAGGGGCTAGACTTGAAGAGAGTGGGAGGGGCTAGACTTGAAGAGAGTGGGAGGGGCTAGACTTGAAGAGAGTGGGAGGGGCTAGACTTGAAGAGAGTGGGAGGGGCTAGACTTGAAGAGACTGGGAGGGGCTAGACTTGAAGAGACTCGGAGGGGCTAGACTTGAAGAGACTGGGAGGGGCTAGACTTGAAGAGAGTGGGAGGGGCTAGACTTGAAGAGACTGGGAGGGGCTAGACTTGAAGAGACTGGGAGGGGCTAGACTTGAAGAGAGTGGGAGGGGCTAGACTTGAAGAGACTGGGAGGGGCTAGACTTGAAGAGACTGGGAGGGGCTAGACTTGAAGAGTCTGGGAGGGGCTAGACTTGAAGAGACTGGGAGGGGCTAGACTTGAAGAGACTGGGAGGGGCTAGACTTGAAGAGTCTGGGAGGGGCTAGACTTGAAGAGACTGGGAGGGGCTAGACTTGACGAGACTGGGAGGGGCTAGACTTGAAGAGACTGGGAGGGGCTAGACTTGAAGAGACTGGGAGGGGCTAGACTTGAAGAGACTGGGAGGGGCTAGACTTGAAGAGACTGGGAGGGGCTAGACTTGAAGAGACTGGGAGGGGCTAGACTTGAAGAGAGTGGGAGGGGCTAGACTTGAAGAGAGTGGGAGGGGCTAGACTTGAAGAGACTGGGAGGGGCTAGACTTGAAGAGACTGGGAGGGGCTAGACTTGAAGAGACTGGGAGGGGCTAGACTTGAAGAGACTGGGAAACAAATGATGAGCGAGGGGAACTGGGAGGGGGGGGTGGAGGGGGGTGAAGGGATGGGCGTAGCAGGGGCAGGCAAGGCAATGACAGCCATACATCACTACCATCATACCCAAGCCATGCCACCACCATCATCACACCCATGACATGTCATCATCACCACACCCATGCCATCGTCACACCGCACCCATTCCATCACCACCATACCACATATCCCCACCACCCCACCACCCACGTCAGCAATGTTGCCAGCCCCTCATCCGCCTCGCTGGCGCCCTCCGATTGGAGGAACAGCCGTGTCGCCCGCCCAAGAGCCACAAAGAATCCAAAAACCGCCAGCTCAGCTTTCAAGCTCTCGCCTCCCCCCTCCCCCCCGCCTCCCCACTCCCCCTCCCCCTCCCCCCACTCCTCGAAAATTTTCTCCCGAACCAAAGCTGCCCGCAGCTGCCGCTCCACCAGCTGCACCCAGAAGCGGCGCTCGCCGGGCAGCACGCGAAAGTTCAGGTGCCCGCCCGCGCGCTGCCCGAAGTGCGAGAGGAACTCGGCGCGCAGCCCCGCTCTCACTGCGTGACGGTACACGTCATCGATGTCGGCTGCTCTTAGTAGGTGGTCAAACAGGTGTCGCAACTGCAGGCAGGGGTGAGGGGGAGTGAGTGGGAGGTTGAAGCAAGGGTGACTCAGCGCGCAGCCCCGTCCGCAGTGCATGGCAATATACATCTATGTCGGGTGCTTTAAGTAAGTGGTCAAACAGATGGCGCAGCTGGTGGGTGGGTTGGGCAGAAAGGGGGGCGGGAGTGGGGGACAGAGTGGGGGGGGTGGGGATTGGAGTGTGAGGGCAACTCGGCGCGCAGCCCCGCACTCACGGCGTGGCGATACACGTCGTCAATTTCGGCTGCTCTCAACAGATGGTCAAACAGATGATGCAGCTACAGGAGGGGTGGGGGTGGAAGTGGGGGGAGTGGGGGGACTGGGGGGTTGAAGGGAGGCAAGGGCGAGTCAAAGCGGAGCTCTGCCTGACACCGCAACGCGGTGGTAGACGTTCTCAATGTGTGCTGCTCTTTACAGGTGGTCGAATCGAAGAGGTGGCGCAGACGCCCATTAGCCTCCTGCTCATCAGCCCTCCACCCATAGACTCACCTGCCCTCGACTGCCCACCTGCCCCTCCACCCTCCCCCACCCACCTGATCCTCCAGTAGCATGGAATGCGGCGCAGCCAACAACTCGACTCAACCCTCCACCCACAAGCTCACCTGCTCTCACTTGACTCGTCTGCCCCTGCAACCCTCACCAACTCCCTTTGACTTGCTTTAATCCTCTCTCCACCGCCCACCTGATCCTCCAGCAGAACAGAGAGTGCGGCACAGCCAACAGCCTCAGGCGGCGCAAAGAAGCGCACGGCACCGATGACCGCCCTCCCTCTCTCATTCTGTCACTCACCCGCTCCTCTACCCTCCATCCACAAGAGTTGACTCGCCTTAACCCTGACTCCACTACCTACCTGGTCCTCCAGCAGAACTGAGAACGCGGCGCAGCCAACAGCTTCCGGTGGAGCAAAGAAGCGCACAGCCCCGATGATCTCCCTCTCTCCGCTGCTCACCTGCCCCTCCACCCCACCCACCCTCCGATGCTCACCTGCCCCTCCACCCCACCCACCCTCCGATGCTCACTGAAACGCCCACCTGATCCTCCAGCAGCAATCCTCACCTGGTCTTCCAGCAACACTGAGAAGGCGGCGCATCCAACAGCCTCAGGGGGAGCGAAGAAGCGCACGGCACCGATGATCTGGAACAGCAGCAGGAACAGCGCCATGTCACTGTCCGCCAGCCTGGCGGCGCCTGCCACGTGGGCAGCTGCCGATGTGCCACGTGGCGTCAGGGATGCTGACGTGGCGGTGGGTGAGAGAGCGGCATGAGGAGGGTGGGGTAGCCCGTCGTCCAGCCCAGAGGCTTTAGCGGATAGCTGCACGTCCTGGCTGGATGGGGGAAGGGGAGAGAGAGGGAGGGGCGGAGTACGGTGCAGTGAGGTAGAGTGAGTGGGCTGGATGGGGTGAGAACGGGGGGGAAAGAGCGTACAGATCCCCAACCTGACCGTCTCCCGGCAGCAGTGATGGCGTATCGGTGCAGCACGGTGCAGCACGGTGCAGCACGGTGAGCATGGTCAGCAGCGCGTCAAACAAGAACACACTCAAACAAGAAGAGGGCAAAGAGGGCACCTGGTTGGCACCCCGACCCCACCGTCTCACATAGCAGCAGTGATGGCGTATCGGTGCAGCACGGTCAGCATCGTCAGCAGCGCGTCAAACAAGAACACCACCGTCTCACATAGCAGCAGTGATGGCATAGCGATGCAGCAGCGTGAGCATCGTAAGCAGCGCCTCAAACGTCCCCGGATACGCCCTCCCCCAGAACCACCCGTCCATTCCCCCACCATCCGCCTCTCCCCCCCCAGCCTGCTGCTCCCTCCCTTCGCGCTCCTTCTGCTGTGCCAACTCATAGCGCATGAAACTCTCTAGAGGCTCGCATAGACGCGCCAGGCTGAATAGCACCCACGTGGACGCATCACTGCCGCCCGAATCGGCCCCTCTGCCGCCCGCATTGGCCTCTCTGCCGCCCCCCCTGCCGCCCGCCCTGCTCTGCCCCTCTGTCTCCCCGCCCTCCGCTCTGCTCTGCCCTTCCCCCTCCCCCGCCATCTCCCTCACTCTCCCCATCTCCCGGCCCCCCTCCCCCTCCTCCTCCTCCGCCTCCCACTCCTCCTCCCCGTCCTCGCTACAGCCGCCGCTGCTGTAGCTGCTGCTGCAGCTGCTGCTGCTCCTGCGGCGGGTGAGGTGTGTTGTAGCAGGAACGGTCCCGGAAGCGGTCCCAGGTGCTGTAGCATGAGTGTCTGACGCTCTACCGGTTTCTGTAGCAGCTGTAGCGGCTGTATCAGCTGTAGCAGGGGGAGCAGTGGTGACGGTGCGAGTGATGAGCTCCATAGACGCTTTCAGCAGCGCCACCACTGCTGCCTGAAATAGAAGTAGGGGTGGGAGCATGGGCACATGGGCAAAGGCAGTAGGGTTTGCCTGGTCTGGTCAGCTGCAGTGGCGACAGTGCGAGTGATGAGCTCCATGGCCGCTTTCAGCAGCGCCACCACTTCCGCCTGTAAGCATGGGGAATGGCAGGAGGAGAGGGGATTATGGCACGAGGTTTAGCCTCAGCAGTGAGTGTGGGCCGTGCGAGTGATGTGATGAGTCCCATAGCCGCTTTCAGCAGTGCCGCAGTGCCAACTACAAGCAACAGCACCTGCTGCACAACAACCCCTCGCCTGTACCCTTGCCTTCCCCCATTCACTTGCTTTTTTAAGCTTCTCGGAAACAGGAACTAACCCTATTCCCCATGCCCTTCACCCATGCCCTTCCAACTCCCCTTCACCGCACTGCACACCTGGCTTCCCATGCGCTTCACCCATTCGTCCGCCTCTCCGCCGCCCGCCCCCGCGAGCGCGAGCCAGCTGCCCACGCGGAAGAAATCCCCCGCCGCCCCGCCCCTGCTGCGGAACTCCCGCACCTCCTCCTGCACCTTCCGCGACGCCTCCGCCAAAGCTTCCGCCAAGTCCCGCCACGACGACTTTCTCCGCCCGGGGGGACCGCTAGCTCCGCCGATTCCGCCGCTTCCGCCAATTGCGCCAGTAAGTCCGCCTAATCCGAGCCCCAGCAGCGCGGATCCCCCCGCGACTTGCTGCGAAGCTAGCTCCTCCTCCTCGAATTCCTTCCGCCAATCCCACGGTTCACCCATCTTCACCGCACCCAACTCCTGCTCAGATTCCTCCGCTTCCCCTTCCGCCAGATCCCGCGCGAAAGCGGATAAGCGGATACGCGCGGTCAGCGCAGTCAGCGCGTTCCACCAGCGGGGTTGCTGCCAGCGCAAATCCGCGGCGTCGCGGCGGAGGAATCCGCGCGGAGCGGACCAGGCGGAGGCGGAAAGCGCGGACGGCGCGGACTCGTGGCGGTGGAGCTGACCAGGAAGCGGCGGAACAACGTCCGCGGGAGACGCGCGGTCGCGGGGAGAGGGGAAACAATCTGAGGCTGCTCCTGACGGCTCGCGCGGCTCCGCGGAGACGGAGGGATTGCAGGTGCGCGGAGGGCGGTGGGGAAGCTCAAGACCGACTTCCCCAGTCGCACCGACAATGGGCTGAGCAAGGTAAGACATGTGCAGCCTGCACCAGAGCTCTATGAGGACGACATATATTGTCTGTAGGGAAAAGAAGAAAGAAAGAAGAAGAAAAGGTCAAGGAGTGAAAAGAAGTAGTAGGGAAAAGAAGAGAGTGGTGGGAAGAGAAGAGAAAAGATAGATGAAGGGAAGAGAAAGAGGGAGGTGGGAAGAGGAGAGGAGAGAGGGAAAGAGACTAAGGAGGAGGAAGCACCAAGGGACCAGACACGGCAGCAACCCGCACAACAAACGCGGGCACAGCGTTTCAAGCACAGCCACTAAACTCTCTACACATATGCATCATACATATATTGCATATCGGCAACACTCTCGAAGCACCCTGTGATATGGTTCCAGGTACCCTGCCCCGCACCCAGTGGGACGGGTGCGGGCATCCATCCGTCGTCGGATCCCCCCAACTGCCGCACCGCATGCTGTAAGATGCATCGAGCCTGCGCGCGCTGCAGTGCCACGGAGAGACGTGTAGTGAGTCCTGTCTCAAATATCCGTGCTGATCCGTCATCCCCTCCTCCCCAATCCCTCCTCCGCTGTGCTATCCTCTTCGCGCAGAGCCCCAGGAACTGACGCAACGGCTCGCTCAGTAGGCCAAAGGTCTCAGCCACGCACGCGTAAAAGTGTGGTGCCGGCTGCAACCCCTCTAAGTGCGGCCCCCAGTGACGCAGCTTCTCCTGCACCCGCCTAGCTGCTGCCACTCCAATCTGTGTGGGGGTCGCCCGTCCCAGCTGCACGTTCCCCTCCCGCTGTGGATCCGCTATGGAGACATCCACAAGAACCATCAAAGTCTGCCCAACGTCGCGGCAGGTGAGGTCTGGGATGCGGGAGGAGGTGCCTGTACGGCCTGTGCGTCCGGCTGGTCCCTGCTGCTGCGCTGGCTGCTGCCCTGTCTGGTCCCTCGGTGCCTCCTCTCCTGTCGTCTCTCTCCCCCTATCCTCTCCTCCACCCACCTGTCCTCTCCCCTCCCCCTCTCTACCCTCCCCCAAACCTCCCAACCTCCCTGCTCGAGATAGATACCGGGGGAAGGTGGATTCGCGCTATTTATTACGAATTTAATATTTCTTCTTTCCATTGACGCATCGGTCCCATGATCTAGTGGTTATGATGTCAGACTCTGAATCTGAATGGCCGAATTCAATTCTCGGTGGGACCTTTTGGCTCTGTCACCAGATTCGACTTTTGTGGTTGAAGGGTCCCACACGTGTCCGCGCCTCAATGGCTTATACACCACCTGTCAGCGGCTCGACTCTGAAGGACTTGCTTGACGACACCATCGACGGTTTCGACCCTTGCCATCCCACCAAACCAACGCGGCTTGGAAATCCCCTTGTACAGTACTTCACTATTACACATGGAAATTTCGCTCATCGCTCAGCGATCCCCGAATAATCGCACTTGCCATTTGGGCCACATGCGACCCTGGCGACAGTGTCGTATGGGGTTGCGCGATGCAGCTGTGCTCCGCCCGCATGCCGCTCCTTCGCCAAACTTGGCCGTCGCACCCCGACATCCCCAGCTTCGGGATCGCCTCGCCAGTAATCTCCTGTTTACTACGACACTTTCGTACCAGCCCAGAATGCAGCGTAAGGGCGACGTCAGGTTGCACAACTTCTGTACGCTCACTGCGGTTGACTTCGATTCGTCACGGTGCAAAACGGTAAACTTTCAAAACCGCTTCTCACCGTGTGGAACCGTCCTGAGCCACGATACCAGAACTGTAAATGTGTGGGAAATGTGCAACCCGACGTCGCCCTTAAAGCTGCAGTATACAATTGAAAGGTTGGGTTCAAAAACTTTTGAAATTTGAAAAGTTGCCCCAAAGCTGTGAGGCACACAATAAAAACCCTAAACCCGGCTGACAAATGTATACTGCAGCTTTAAGGGGTTCAACTCTGGCCACAATTCCCGAATGACAAAATGAGCCACCAGCTATGGTCCTTATTTTGACTTCTGTAGCCACAGGACCAAGGTCGCACTAAGTAGTGAAATTTCCCTAGAAGTTACTTCTCGCAATACGGTTCTTTTCTTCTTAAAGCCGCGGTGCAACTATCTTAGGAACAGTGACAAGCCGGGTTTTGTCTTGTTCCGTACTGGTAGTCAATTGGCTAGCGAGTGTGTAAGTTGTGTTGCGATGAAAACATCCAAGGCGAATGTCGCGAACCTCGAAAGGAAAAGTGGGGGGGAAGGGGTGGGGGGGAAGGGAAGGGGGGAACACACACGAAACGGGAAATGGGACCACATCAACACCCCCATACTCCCTTTCGCTGATTGTTCTGCCAATAACACCTCCACATTGCAAAACGATAAACCTTATGTTTCATAAAAACTTTGCAAAATACATATTTCACTTACAAGGTTTATTTTGGTTTATTTATCCATCCATTTGCAAGAGTATTATTTCTAATGGGGAGAAAGAACATCAACTGTACAGACCTGCAAGACTTGGAATGTCATATTGAAATCCTTATCATGCAAAGGATCGCAAGCAAACAACATGGCATAATCCAAGGAGAGCCGATTTTTACACTCCGATCCACTATTGGTGCAGCTGTCCATTTACAGGGAGGAGGGGGGAGGGGAAAAGGGGAAGGAAACGTTGCGCATTATTGAAGAATGTTAGGTAGGGAAATTGAAGAGAGCATGGAAACTGAGATATGATAGACAGCCTTCAGTGGCCAAGCAAAGCTGGTACTGTTGGCTGAATTGAACGAGAGAACGTAGTGGAAAGGGAAGGGACGGTAGTGGGGGAAGGCGAGGGGCAGGGGAGGGGGGAAAGGGATGGCTGAGAGAAGCGTGAATGGTGGGAGAGGACAGTAGGAAAGGGAAGGGATGTGAGAGAGGGGGAGGAAAGGTGGGAGGGAAGGACAGGGGGAAAGGGAGAGAAGGACAGGGGGAAAGGGAGAGAAGGACAGGGGGAAATGGAGAGGAGGACTGGGGGAAAGGGAGAGGAGGACAGGGGGAAAGGGAGAGGATGACAGGGGGAAATGGAGAGGAGGACAGGGGGAAATGGAGAGGAGGACAGGGGAAATGGAGAGGAGGACAGGGGGAAAGGGAGAGGAGGACAGGGGGAAAGGGAGAGGAGGACAGGGGGAAAGGGAGAGGAGGATAGGGGGAAAGGGAGAGGAGGACAAGGGGAAAGGGAGAGGAGGACAGGGGGAAAGGGAGAGGAGGACGAGAGGAGGACAGGGGGAAAGGGAGAGGAGGACAGGGGGAAAGGGAGAGGAAAACAGGGAGGGCACTGCCCAAGAGAAGTTGACGCTGAGGACCGGGCAAGGGATCGGAAAGGGGGAGGCATTGGAGAGGAATAAATATGGAGGGGGACGCGAGATGCTTCGCCACCGTCGCACAGATGCTTCGCCCCGCTGCTCGCTATCGTCGCCCTGGTGCTTGCTATCGTCGCCCTGATGCTCGCTATCGTCGCCCTGGAGCTCGCTATCGTCGCCCTGGTGCTCGCTATCGTCGCCCTGCTGCTCGCTATCGTCACCCCGCTGCTCATATCGTCGCCCCGCTGCTCGCTATCGTCGCCGCACCGCTCGCTATCGTCGCCCCGCTGCTCGCCACCGTCGCACCCATTCCTGCCTGTCGCTACCGTTGCGCCTTTGCTACCGCAGATACGTGAGGAATGGAGGGGCGGGAGAGGAATAAGGACGGCAACGGAGGAAAACGAGCGCAATGCGCTTCGAATACGACAAAAAGGTGTTTACGAGGTAGGAAATTGCGCAGATATTCGTGAGCACATCAATAGACCATGAAACGCGAGAAATCTTAGCGGAAATGGCTCTGCGTAGCTCGGAAAACGCACTTCAAGTTAGTAAGAACCTAGTTCAAGCGTGAGAGTTTGCCGAGTTTGAGTTGTTTTGAGTTCAAGTTTGAATTTTCAAGTTTGCTGCATGCGCTCCCCCTCAACTCGTTGAGCGGAGCTTTTCCCCGAGCCCTCCCCCGTTTCCCCCCCACACACATCATACTGCGAAGGACTTTTCCGCACGCCCTTCCCCCGCTGGCAGAAACCTCTCCCTGCTCGCTTTCCTGTGTATACTGGGTTACGCGGCTTTCAAACTATAATAGTTTGAACTGGAGCCCGGATATCTGCACCGCGGCTTTAAAAATGACATTTTTTCATTCATCATCCGGTGTTCTGGGAATCATCGCACTTGGTGGCGGCGACAACGGTGGGCGACGGTGGCGACCGTATCGCATGGGGTTGCGCGACGCAGCTGTGCTCCGCCCGCGTGCCGCTCTTTCCCCGTCCGCGCGACCCTCCGCGGGCCCCGCTACCGCAAGTCATACCAGCGAATCCCCTCTCGCCGCGGGACCGGCTCCATCCCCGTACCGCTCACTCCTAACACTCGCGACGCACCGATTCGTCGCGCTCTTCTTTCTCCTCGCGGTCGTCGCGGCGTTCGTCGCGGCGGGGCTCCTCGCCTCGTACGCGCGCAGCCCGGCGCAGCTGCCGGGGGGCGCGCATCCCGGCGCAGCAGCCAAAGGCGCGCAGCTCGGCGCAGCTGCCGGGGGCGCGCATCCCGGCGCAGCAGCCAAAGGCGCGCAGCTCGGCGCAGCAGCCCGGGGGGCTCCTCGCGGCGGGGCTCCTCGCCTCGCGCGCGCGCAGCCCGGCGCAGCTGCCGGAGGCGCAGAGGGCGGAAACGGCAGGCGGAGAGAAAAAATCCGAAAACGTCGTGGGAAATCGGAATTCCGAAAATCGGACATTGGAAATCCGGAAACCGGAAATCCGGAAATCGGAAATCCGGAAATCGGACAAAGAGGCGTGGGAGCAGCAGCGGCGCGTGTATCGCGACGAGGTAACGCGCGCCGTGGCGCGCGGGGAGCGATACTACCTGCTATCCTCCGCCACTGACCGTTGCGTGGGGCAGTCGCACTGGTCGTGGTCGCTGCGCTGTGCGGCGGCGGAGGCAAAGGCGCTTCGGCGCGCGCTGGTGTTGGTGACTGACCGTTGCTTGCACCAGGTGCACTCGCGGACGGGGAGGGACGAGCATGGGCACGTGGGGCTGTATTACAACGTCACCACCATGATGAGGTGTGGTGCGGTGGGGTTGGGTGTGGTACTGTGTGGCTTAAAGGTATGTTCTGTGGGGTAATACCAACAGGGGCGAGCGTGGGCACGTGGGCTGTATTGCAACGTCACCAGCATGATGAGGTGAGGGAGGGGACGAGGGAAGGGAGTGTGCAGCTGCAGCTCGGTTTGGTGTGGTGTGGCGTGGTTTGTTGCGGTGCAGAACGGTGTGTGTTAGGCGCCTCGAGTGGCGCTGAAAGGCGCGCTGGTGTTAGTGACTGACCGTTGCTTGTACCAGGCGCACACGCGGACGGGGCAGGACGAGCATGGACACGTGGGGCTGTACTATAATCTCACGACTATGATGAGGTGCGGTGCGGTGGGGTGTGGTAATGTGTGGCCGGGAGGGCGTGTGCTTCGGGTAAGGGACGAGCATGGACACGTGGGGCTGTATTACAACCTCACAACTATGATGAGGTGCGGGGGGGAGAGGAGAGGGAATGGTGTTGTGCGGTGCAGTGCGGTATGGTGTGCTGTGGTGTGCTGTGCTGTGCTGTGCTGTGCTGCGGTGTGCTGCGGTGTGCTGCGGTGTGGTGTGTTAGGTGCTGAAACACACGCCATTGCTTTCATCAAGCGCACTCAGGAGCGGGGGGGATGATGAGCATGGGCACGTGTGGCTGTTCTATAACCTCACCAGCAGTGGGGTGGGGTTGGGTGCGGTGGGGTGCGGTGGGGTACTGCGTGGCTGAGAGGGCGTGTGCTCTGGGTATTGCAGGAAGGACGAGCATGGGCACGTGGGGCTGTGTTACAATTTCACCACCATGATGCGGTGCGGTGCAGTGAGGTGGGGTGGGGTGGGATGCGGTGTGGGGTGTCATGTCGTACTCATGCAGTGTTTCATGCTGCTCTTTGGGGCGCGGGAGTGGGACGTCATGCCCATGCCCATGCCCATGCCTATGCCTATGCCCATGCCCATGCCCATGCCCATGCCCTTGCCCATGCCCATGCCTATGCCTATGCCCATGCCCATGCCCATGCCCATGACCTTTTCCCGCTTCTGTTTTCCCCTCGATTCCCCCACCCCTCTTCATCCCCCCCCTGCCAGCAGCCAGTTGTCCTCATGGAGTGGGAGTGGGAGTCGGACGTCATGCCCATGCGCAAGCTCCCCCTTCTGTATCCCCCCGGTTTCCGCCCTCCCCCTTTCATTCCCCCGCAGCCAGCAACCGATAATCCTGATGGTGCATTTTCAGGCTCTATTCGGCTCGTGGGAGTGGGTGGGACGTCATGCCCAACCCCCTTTCATCACCCCCCACCCAGCAGCCAATGGTCCGCATGGAGCATTCTCAGGCTCGCTTTGCCTCGTGGGAGCGGGATGTCGCTCGTGGGAGTGGAACGTCATGACCATGGGCAAGTTCCTCATTCCCCTCTCTGCGTCCTCCTCTCCCCTTTCGCCCCCCCCCCCCAGGCAGCAGCCAATAAGTCCTGATGGATCATTTCTTGGCTCGATTCGGCTCGTGGGACGTCATGCCCACCCCATGCCTTTTCCCTCTTCCGTTTCCCCCCGCCCCAGCCGGCAGCCAATAATTTTCCTGGAGCATTTTCAGGCTCGCTTCGGTTCGTGGGAGTGGGACGTCATACCCATGCGCAAGTCCCCCATCGGGCCACGCACGGAGAAGCTAGCTGTGTGGAGGAACGTGTTTCTGGTGGTGCGTGCACCGGAGGAGGGGCAGTACGGGTTCATGCTGTGCGATAAGGAGCACATGCAGGTGCGTGGAAGGGCGTCGTGTGTATGATATGATCGCAAGTTCCCCATAGGGCCGCGCACAGGGGAGCTGGCGATTTGGAGGAACGTGCTTCTGGTGGTGCGTGCACCGGAGGAGGGGCAGTATGGGTTCATGCTGTGTGATAAGGAGCACAAGCAGGTGAATGGAGGGGCGTGGGAGAGTGGGATGAGTGGAATGTGGGAGAGAGGGACAGTACGCAGTCATGCTGTGCGATAAGGAGCACAAGCAGGTGAATGGAGGGGCGTGGGAGAGTGGGATGAGTGGAATGTGGGAGAGAGGGACAGTACGCAGTCATGCTGTGCGATAAGGAGCACAAGCAGGTGAATGGAGGGGCGTGGGAGAGTGGGATGAGTGGAATGTGGGAGAGAGGGACAGTACGCAGTCATGCTGTGCGATAAGGAGCCCAAGCAGGTGAGTAGGAGGTGGGGTGGGAGAATAGAATGAGACTTGTCAAACGAGAGGAACGTGTTTCTGGTGGTGCGCGCTCCGCAGGAGGGGCAGTACGGGTATGGGTTCACCCAACGATGCGTTCACCCATCTCGCTCACGCCATGGGCGGCCCTCACCGCTTTGACTACGTGCACGTGCCCATGCATTCATGCATGCACATATGTGCATGTGTGATGCAGTAACAAGCTGTCTGCACTCTCACGTTACCATACATCCCCGCACCTGTGTGCTATCCATGCACATGTCTCCATCTCCATCTCCATCCCCATCCCCATCCCCATCCCCATCCCCATCCCCATCCCCATTCCCATCTCCATCCCCATCCCCATCCCCATCCCCATCCCCATCCCCATCCCCATTCCCATCTCCATCCCCATCCCTATCCCCATCCCCATCCCCATTCCCATCCCCATCCCCATCCCCATCCCCATCCCCATCCCCATCCCCATTCCCATCTCCATCCCCATCCCCATCCCCATCCCCATCCCCATCCCCATCCCCATCCCCATCCCATTCCCCAGAACCAGGACAACATCACCTTCGTCCCCAACGATGCCTTCACCCGCCTCAGTGCGAATCCCACACATACCCTCCCCTGTACACATGTGTCCACCCATACCCCTGTCCCCATCCCCATCCCCATCCCCATCCCCATCCCCATCCCCATCCCATCCCCATCCCCATCCCCATCCCCATCCCCATCCCCATCCCCATCCCATCCCCATCCCCATCCCCATCCCATCCCCATCCCATCCCCATCCCATCCCCATCCCCATCCCCATCCCCATCCCCATCCCAGAACCAGGACAACATCACCTTCGTCCCCAACGATGCCTTCACCCGCCTCAGTGCGAATCCCACACATACCCTCCCCTGTATACATGTGTCCACCCATACCCCTGTCCCCATCCCCATCCCCATCCCCATCCCCATCCCCATCCCCATCCCCATCCCCATCCCCATCCCATCCCCATCCCCATCCCCATCCCCATCCCCATCCCCATCCCCATCCCATCCCCATCCCCATCCCCATCCCCATCCCATCCCCATCCCATCCCCATCCCATCCCCATCCCCATCCCCATCCCCATCCCCATCCCCATCCCCATCCCATCCCCATCCCATCCCCATCCCATCCCCATCCCCATCCCCATCCCCATCCCCATCCCAGAACCAGGACAACATCACATTCGACCCGGAGTTTCTCTTCCCCAATGACGCATTCACCCGCCTCGCACACGCCATGGCTGATTCCATGGGCGGCCCACACCGCTTTGACTACATACACGTGCGGCGGGGAGACAAGCTGGACGCTAGGCGCTGGCCGCACCTGGATCGAGACACCAGACCTGAAGCGTGAGTGCCCTGTTAGATATCCCCTGTCAAGGGTGACTGTAACATGGGTGGCTGCAGCAGCGCCGTTTTGACAATGTGCACGTGCGGCGGGGGGACAAGCTGAATGCCACCCGCTGGCCCCATCTGGATCGAGACACGCGGCCCGAAGCGTGAGTTCCCAATTGAAGCTGCACCGTCTCTGGCTTGAAGTGTGGCTCCCATATAGCTGGTCGCAGCAGCACCCCTTTGCCTATGTGCACGTGCGGCGATGGGGTCGGCGACACCCGGCCACCTCATGCCACGCACTGGCCTCTGTTGGACCATGGCACACGGCCTGAAGTGTGAGCTGCTTGTGAGAAATTTCTGAAGTGACAGTCTGCCCTGCCCGTGCCGCCCCTCTCAGCCCAGTCTCCTACAGAAGCTCCCATCGCTTGTCCCGCCAAACAGCGCTCTCTACATCGCAACCAACGAATCAGACAACCACTTCTAGTTCTGTGATGCCTCCAAATAGCTGTCTCTCTCTCTCCTCTTCCACCTGCGTCCCCTGTCCTCCCCAGCCTCCTGCAGAAGCTCCCATCGCTCGTCCCGCCAAACAGCGCTCTCTACATCGCAACCAACGAATAAGACAACCACTTCTAGTTCTGTGATGCCTCCAAATAGCTGTCTCTCTCTCTCCTCTTCCACCTGCGTCCCCTGTCCTCCCCAGCCTCCTGCAGAAGCTCCCCTCGCTCGTCCCTCCAAACAGCACTCTCTACATCGCAACCAAGGAGCTACGCCCCCACTTCTTCCACCCTCACACACTCTCCTGTTCTCTCCCACCCCTCTTGGCTGTCAGATTTATATGACATAGCTACTGTAGGCTATAGTGGGGTAGCACATATGGGGTACAGTTTTCTAGGGTTTGCTTTTGTACCCAACTTTCCCTTAGTCAATCCATTCCTAATTTCTTCACATGGTATAGAGCAGGTTCCCTAGTGGGAACGCTTCCTTGGGCCCACCACTGAAACCTTTTTTTTCTGACCGGAGCGACAGTCGCTCCTGCCCGAGGCGCGCCTTGTGGGCCGCCCTTCTGTCGAGCTCTCTTAGAGGCCCCTCTCACGGCCCCTCGCGCCACCCTTAGCGGCCCCGTCGCCGCCCCTAGCGGCCCCGTCGCCGCCCCTACGCGGCCCCGTCGCCGCCCCTAGCGGCCCCGTAGCCGCTCCCCTCCCTACGCGGCCCCGTCGCCGCCCCTACGCGGCCCCGTCGCCGCCCCTACGCGGCCCCGTTGCCGCCCCTAGCAGCCCCGTCGCCGCCCCTAGCGGCCCCGTCGCCGCTCCCCTCCCTACGCGGCCCCGTAGCCGCCCCTACGCGGCCCCGTCGCCGCCCTTACGCGGCCCCGTCGCCGCCCCTAGCGGCCCCGTCGCCGCTCCCCTCCCTACGCGGCCCCGTCGCCGCCCCTACGCGGCCCCGTCGCCGCCCCTAGCGGCCCCGTCGCCGCCCCTACGCGGCCCCGTCGCCGCCCCTAACGGCCCCGTCGCCTCCTCCCTCCCTACGCGGCCCTGTCGCCGCCCCTACGCGGCCCCGTCGCCGCCCCTAGCGGCCCCGTCGCCGCCTCCCTCCCTACGCGGCCCCGTCGCCGCCCCTACGCGGCCTCGTAGCCGCCCCTACGCGGCCCCGTCGCCGCCCCTAGCGGCCCCGTCGCAGCTTCCCTCCCTACGCGGCCCCGTCACCGCCCCTACGCGGCCTCGTAGCCGCCCCTACGCGGCCCCGTCGCCGCCCCTAGCGGCCCCGTCGCCGCTCCCCGCCCCTAGCGGCCCCGTCGCTGCCCCTACCCGGCCCCGTCGCCGCCCCTAGCGAGCAGCCGAGCCGCCGAGCCGCCGAGCAGCTGAGCCGCCGAGTCGCCCAGCAGCCGAGCCGCCCCTGGAGCAGCCGCCACTGCAGCAGCCGCCCCTGGAGCAGCCGCCACTGCAGCAGCCGCCCCTGGAGCAGCCGCCACTGCAGCAGCCGCCCCCGGAGCAGCCGCCACTGCAGCAGCCGCCCCTGGAGCAGCCGCCTTTGGAGCAGTCGCCCCTACAACTGCCGCCCCTGGAGCAGCCACCCCTGCAGCTGCCGCGGAGCTCTCGCTCTACAGTGGTAGCGGCCTCGCCGTTGCCGCCGTCGTACGCCTGCCCTTCGCGCCACTGGTGAGCACTGCCCTGCCCGTACTGCTGTTACTGCTGCTCTTACTGCTGCTGCTCTTTCTACTGCTACTGCTGCTCCTGGCATGGCCAGATGCAGCTCCAGCGTCGCCCGCGTGAGTCCCTCACCCCCCAACAGCTTCGTGCGTGGTACGCTAGTTGGGGTTGTCGGGGTGGCCGTAGTGGGAGTCGTCCTGGAGTGAGTAGTTCCACAGCTGCTTGTAGTGGCCAGGTGCAGCTGCAGCGTCGCCCGCGTGAGTCCCTCACCCCCCAACAGCTTCGTGAGTGGTACGCTATTTGGGGTTGTCGGGGTGGCCGTAGTGGGAGTCGTCCTGGAGTGAGTAGTTCGGCAGCTTCTTGTAGTGGCCAGGTGCAGCTTCAGCGTCGTCCGCGAGCAGTCCTTTCGCCCCAGCAGCTTCGTGAGTGGTACGCTCAGCGTGACGGGTCACGGGGTACTGCTCGCTGTCCGTACGTCATTTGCACTGGTGCTCGGACTGGTCAGCCTTGCGGGACGTTGGGTCACGCAGAGTCCCGCTGCTTCGCCCGTCTGAGCGACGCCTGGCGTACGGAGCTTGGCGACGCGGCTGAGCTCCCCGACTGGGTGGAGCTGCTTCGGCTGCGGGTAGATATCTATACTCTTGACTATGATGCTATCCTCACTGCCATGTATGCATTGCCTACTAGTGATGAGGGTGACTGTTACCTGTGTGTTCTGCCTGACCCGGGCATTGAGGCTGCTGCTCTAGGTGCTGGTGAGGCTGCTGCTCTAGGTGCTAGTGCGTCTGCTGCCCCAGGTGCTGGTGAGTCTGCTCTCTCAGGTACCACGTCGTCTCAGGCCTTACACACCTTCACTCTTGACTCGGGTGCTTCCCGCTCCTTCTTTCGAGACCGCACCACGCTTACGCCGCTCAGTCGGCCGGTTGCGGTCTCCCTGGCAGACCCCTCTGGGGGTCCTGTCCTTGCTCACTTCTCCACTGTCCTCCCGTGTCCGGCGGCCCCCTCTGGCACCCTGTCTGGTCTTTACCTCCCCTCGTTCTCTACGAACTTGGTGAGTGGTGCTGACCTACAGGATGCGGGGGTTCACCAGTTCACTCCTGCGAGTCAGCGGGTGACCCACTGCACGGACGCTCGGACAGGCCGACACCTGGCCACGTTTACACGTCGGCCGGGGTCGAGCCTGTACACACTGACCACTGCGTCTCCTCCAGTCACTGCGTCTGGTCGGGTAGCTGCGTCGGGTCAGGTGTTTGCTGCAGCGTCCAGGTCTGGTCCTGAGTCTGCCCCCTGTTCGTGTCGCCTCCTGTCTCACGAGACTCTCCTCTGGCACCACCGCCTTGGTCACCCCTCCCTGCTTCGTCTCCGAGGCATGGCCTCCCGTGTCCTTGTCTCTGGTCTTCCCCGGTCCCTCCCTCCCCTTCCTCCGGGGCCTGGCCCTACCTGCGTCCCCTGTGTCGAGGGGCGGCAGCGGGCTGCCCCTCACTCCTCCCAGTTTCCTCCGACAGAGGCCCCGCTGCAGACGCTTCACATGGACATGTGGGGCCCGGCCCGCGTCCGTGGACAGGGTCACGAGCGCTACTTCCTGCTGGTGGTTGACGACTACTCGCGTTACACCACAGTCTTCCCCTTGCGCAGCAAGGGTGATATCACTGAGGTGTTGATCGACTGGATCCGCGCAGCTCGTCTCCAGCTCAGGCAGAGCTTCGGCTCGGACTTTCCTGTTCTGCGTCTGCACTCTGACAGAGGTGGAGAGTTCTCCTCTGGCCTTCTGCGAGCCTACTGTCGTGCACGAGGCATCCGCCAGACCTTCACGCTTCCGGACTCTCCACAGCAAAATGGGATTGCTGAGCGCCGCATTGGCATGGTCATGGACGTCGCCCGTACGTCCATGATGCATGCGGCTGCCCCCCATTTTCTGTGGCCGTTTGCGGTTCGGTACGCGGCGCATCAGATCAACCTTCACCCCAGGGTCTCCATGCCGGAGACCTCCCCAGCCTTGCTGTGGACGGGGAAGGTTGGCGATGCGTCTGCGTTCCGTGTCTGGGGATCTCGGGCGTTTGTCCGCGACTTGTCTGCGGACAAGCTGTCCCCTCGTGCTGCTCCTTGCGTCTTCCTTGGCTTCCCCCCTGACGCGCCAGGGTGGCAGTTCTACCACCCCACCTCTCGCCGTGTTCTGTCCTCCCAGGACGTCACGTTTGACGAGTCGGTCCTCTACTACCGCCTCTTCCCCTACCGCACTCCGTCCCTCCCCCCGCCACCGCTCTTCCTTGTACCAGGTCCCCCCCCGGTAGACCCCCTCCCCCCTCAGGGTCCTGCCCCTTCCGGTGTGTCCCAGGTAGACGCAGTCGAGCCTGTCGAGGTTACTGGTGACTCTGGTGCTGCTGAGGGTGCTGAGCCTGGGGGTGCTGACTCTGGGGGTGCTGAGCGTGTGGGTGCTACGCCTGGGGGTGCTGAGCCTGAGGGTGCTACTACTGGGGGTCCTGAGCCTGGGGGTGCTGAGCCTGGGGGTGCTACTACTGGGGGTGCTGAGCCTGGGGGTGCTGAGCCTGGGGGTGCTACGCCTGGGGGTGCTGAGCCTGGGGGTGCCACGCCTGGAGGTGCTGAGCTTGGGGGTGCGGAGCCTGAGGGAGCTGGGCCGGCTCGTGTGGCGTCTGGCGGTGCTGAGCCTGGAGGTTCTCCGGGTGCTTCGTCTCGGCGGGAGCCACTCTCTCCACAGGAGCTGCGCGAGTGGTTTGCCCGGCGCTGGAGGCGTGCTGCTGGAGCTGGAGGTTCTTCGGCTGCTGAGGGTGCTGGTGCCGCGGGTCCCGGAGGTGCTCGTACTGGGAGTACTGGAGCTGCTGGGCCTGCGGGTACGACTGGAGCTGGAGCTGCT